ATATGGTGAAAATAACTTTTCTTTTACAAAATAATATTATATGGAAATTATTCGAGTGAGATGAGATAAATCAGTAATTAGAATGCACATATTATACACACACACACACACACCTGAATACATATGTAATAATAAAATAAAAGAGAGAGAGAGAGAGAGAGAGAGATGATAAATAATAATGTTAACGCAAGATGACAAAAATGATTTATAATATATTTTCATAAAATATCATCGTATATTTCAATTGTAAATATACACACCTGCTAGTACTACTACTATGATATTAATATAAAGATATTAAATAAATACTTTGTTATATTATTGCAGGGACATATCGGTGATAATCCGTTCGACAACGGTTCTTGGGGAAAGGAACATTTTCAACCATCGACGGTACCCTGGCAGCTAAATCCACGCGGCCACTCTCGACCCAGTGTAAGTAAATAACATCATTTACCTATTAATTAAATCATCAAATTAACAACGAATGAACATTTATTCAACGATCCCGAAAAAAAAAAAAAGAAAAAGAAAAAACAACATGGATTTACTATAATATAAAATATTATTTATCATATAGATACAAATGAGAGAGAGAGAGAGAGAGAGAGAGAGAGAGAGAGAGACCATGTGTGGATAATATGTTTAATGCTTAATTATTTTTTTTTTTTAATAAAATTTATAATTATTAAATATTTAAAATAAAAAAAAATAAAAAAACAATGAAAAATTCAAAGCTTAAAGTAAATGGTGGTTAAACGAATTAACGCAACAAGCAAAGTTCTATCAAGTGAAAAAGTAAGAATAGGAAGTAATAGTTGAAAGAAGAGGAAAGAATGAAACAAAAAAAAGAAAATGAAGGGAAAAGGGTGGAAAGAAATCGGAAGAGGAAGATGAATAAAAAAAAGAAAAGAAAAGAAATCCGGAGGCACTCATTGTGTCCGTCCGCAGGTAACAAAAATGTTCTCTCAGTTTTCTCGAGTACTTTTTTTTTTTATTCCCTTAAATGTAAGAGTTTGGTGCTTCTCTTCGTTGTTACATCGTAACCCTGTAACTACCCCTGTCTTTTTCTATCTTTCGTATACGCTCCTTTTCCTCCTCCTTTTTTTTTCTTTTTTTTTTCTCTCTCTTTCTCTTCTTCCCATTCCCTTTTACTTTTCTCGTCAGTCCGTTGAAATCCACCCCTCTCGTTTTCTCTTTCTCGTTCTCGTTCTCGTTTTCTCTTTCTCTTTCTCTTTCTCTTAAGCTTCGTCCGTGCTGTCAGCCGGTATTTATAATACGCTTTGTTTTCCCTCAGCTATTTGTCTTGGCTCTCTCGGCTCCTTCGCTAACGTTATTATCTCGCGTTTTATTTTTATTTAATTCTACGCTCCTTCTACCAGAATGTCTCAGCGTATTCTGACACTGTCAACTATACACCCCTTACATTTTCCAACCCCTTTCAAAACAAATCCTTTCCTTCTTTCCTACTTTTTTTTTTATTTTCTTCTTCTTCTTCTTCTTCTACTACTTCTTCTACTTTTTTTTTTTCCTACTCAACGTTTCCATGTGTGATAACTCGATTAATATTAGTATTTATTTCATCAATTAAAATTTCATAAAAAACACAGGACAGGATTTAACATTTGCACCAATGAACTTTCAAGTTCCTAATTCCAATTAATAATAATAATAATAATTATGATTATTTTTTTTTGAAATTGTAATAACATTAAAGATTAAAATCCTTCTTTAAATAAAAAAAAAAAAGTTATTAATAATAAAGTGAAAGTAAGTAATACTTCAATACACTCAGGTAAAACAAAATGTGTGTAAACTAATTTGAGCCCACCATACGATACGTTTTGAATCTCACGTGAACACATAACGCTGCGTGGAGATTTCTTAGATGCTGACAAATGCACACGTGCACACGTTATGAACCTAACTAACCCTTTATCTAACTTTTGTTTTCTTACTACGAGAATAAAGGGACACGCACGATCGTTAAGTGCAATGTTTTATATATATATATATATATATGAATACATGTGTATACCTATATGGGAGAGAAAGAGATAGAAAAAGAAAGAATATGAGATCATCGTTGAGGATTACAAAGATGGTTGATGAAAAAGGAACAATGCGGTCAAGCTGACGTCGATGAACATACTCGAAACATCATGCTCGTTTTTCTATATGATTACAATCTTAGCCATTTTATATATATATATATATATATATATATATATATATATATATNTATATATATATATGTATATAAAAGATAGACGTGACTTTTTGTTTATGCTTCGTTCACGCACGTAAAGTTTACTTTTCTAATCTACGTTGAACTACCCACACCCAGACGTTGACTCATCTAGGATTCATATTTTTAAATTATTTTATACCGATCATCATCATTTTATACACAATGGTTACGTACATATTTTTTAATACAAATTTGTTTCTAATCAAATAAATAATTAATTTTAATAAGATTATATTATCTTTGCAATAATGTTGCAAGGAAAACGACATTTTAGGTTTAATTAGGATAGGATTATTTTAGGATATTATATATAATATCTTAATATATATAAATTATGTGTGTCACGTTGTTTGTCCGCAATGGACTCTTAAACTACTGAACTGATTTTAATCAAATTTTATATACTGTGTGCAGTTTTATCCAACTTGAAAGATAGGATAGTTTATATCTCAATTTATAATCGCAATATTATTTTATTGCGAATTATGATTTAAAACGTATGTATCGGACTAATTGTGAGACACAGCAACGCGTGGCAGGGCACCCCTAGTAGGTGAGGTTTTTTTTTTTGAATGAATTGTGTAAGAATACGAGAATGACGATAAATATATCGATATAGTTAAAGTAATTAGGTGTTTTTGGTAAGAAACAGAAAAAAAATCAGTGCAGGGGTGATTTTTAGTATCCCAGTGACTGCTACAACACCACCACCACCATCACCACCCTCAAGGGTTTTAAGATATGCAGGACGCAAGGCACGCTTTCCTAGCGAGACTATTTTAATACGAATGAGAGAGAGACCCTCTCTCTTTTTCTCTCTCTCTCTCTCTCTCTTCTCTTTCTACTATTCTCGACGAGACGATATGGTTCGAAGCGAGAAACTCGCGGAAGATCTACTTCTTGATTACAGAACTTTTTACCTAATTACATAACATTGTTACCATTTACAAAGTCGCCAAAGGGTCTACGTTTGTCGACTACTAATCAGGAACGTTCTAAGGATTAGCATCCTCTCGAAGATGAGAATCTCGTTCGGTTTCGATGGAATTCGTGAAATTCTTCCAACGTGTAGATGGCTACGTGTGTACTTTTTTAAAGAGAAAAAGGAAGTTTTATCTCGTATAAGTGCTTTAAAACTCACCTTAGTAATTACAAGAAAGTAGAAAATAGCTTTTAGTGAACTACATTCTAGGAACATTTAACTTTTCAACCAACCCCCCCAAAAAAGAAAAATCGTCAATTCGTACTAAAATCTAACATCTATAAATATTAAAACAAAGTAATTCACAATCATATTAATAAATATAATAATAATAATAATATTTTATTAAAGAAATAAAGAAATATAAAAAAAACTTTGATGAAAGATTGTGGTATCAGACGTTAAGACGTCTGGCAGTTCGACCTTCGAACTCCCATAGCATAAACCCCTTTTCGACCGCAGCCCCTTTTAGAAAGTAATAGTAGGGAGGGTTACTCTGGTAAGTGGGTGGATGGGTGTAGGTAGGTAGATAGGTAACCTTTAGACGACGACTACGACTACGACGAAGGTTCACCAGTCTCGTCTCGTCTCATCTCGTCTCATTTCGTCTCGTCTCGTCTCGTCTCCATTGTCCTCTAATTCTCATCCGATCCTCACATTACGTAATTTTCTCTTTATTATTTTATAATTCCCGACAGTGTGCCGGGATACTTGGACCTGTGCCGGAGTCTGATCCAACTCCGTCAGATCCTCACGGTTCTCATACCGTTGCCTGCGCATACTAATGCGCGCATTTATTAATTATTCCATCGCTAGTTACCACAGATTCTATTTCTCTTTCTTATTCTTATTCTTCGTTTCTCTGATTACGTCACTCACCGATTGAGATTAAAACCTTATCGCTAACTCGAAATCTATTCTTAATAAATTTCCAACCAAATTTTAAGAAATAAAAAAAGAAAAACTAGAAAGATAAGAGTAGGTAGTTGGTTGTAGTGATAGTATGATAGAAGTTTTATGTTGGTAAGAAATCTATTCACGAGAGATATTGATTCGGTTAGAATGTTCCACAGATTCCGAACGGATTCTTTACATTGGACTTGAGTTCGGGTAGTGGGCTTTGGGAATGAAATTCCCTTTTAACGTCGGCCAGGCGCGATTCCTTTTCATGGCAATCGCAAATGTTTAATTGGCTTGGCCGAGAAGCAGGTAACGGCAACGTTAATTGCACTAGATTGCCATCGGGCCCCTCGTCCCCTTAGCGAATCAACGAACACATAAACGAACGAGTATTGTAGAAATTCGAGAAAAAGATGATAATAACCTGAAGCAGGTAGTAGATGGGTATGGAAAGCAACTAGACGATTTTCTTGGTTACTTGGAAAAGACTTCTCTGCATTGAATGCTAAACAAAAGTTAATTTATATCCGGAGGTCGAGACTTTGTAGGAGAGATCGGAAGATGAATGGGTGTACATCTTGCATACCAAGTGGCTTCTCGTCAGTTCCTCAAGGACCAACGAACGGAGTTAAAGATCTCAAGGGATCCTCCTACCCTTCCCTATGGGATATTCTCTTTTCTATCCCTCTCTTTTTAGCTTTTACAATTCTTTGAAAAGACCCCACGTACATTTGAAGAGTATACTTGAAAATCACTCGATTGACACCTTCTTTCATACCTTTTTTTTTTACAAATTCCCGATGTTCCTGAAATATTTTCGAATAATAATTTCAACCTATTCTTCAAAAATTATTAATTTTTTTATTATTATTATTATTGTAATAATAAAGAAAGAGTTTGAAATCTAAGAATGGTAAAAATCGATTGAGTTCAGGTAGTTGAAAGGAGAAAAGATGAAATGTTCTTCTAGTCGAGAGGCACGCAACGATCCGAAGATATTCCCTTTAGGGTCGTCACCCTTAAAATCCTGCGGTACATTGTGCGAGAAAGAGAAAGAGAGAGACAGAGAGAGAGAGAGAGAGAACATTCTCGTTCTTCGATAATCATATATCCCCTTGAAGAGAAGAACCGAGTAGTTCCAACGCGCAACGCCTGCAGTAATGAACGAAATTACGGCTGAAAATTAGTCGGCGCTAAATGAATTTCTCTTGCGCTTCAACGATTTTCTGATAAAACCGTGGAAAGCTTTTGTACCGTTAAGTTTCGTCGTCTGTAATATCAAAAATCGTTTTAACTCAATTT